CAGTGTCTGAGATATGTCATTGAATGCTAGTTTTGTAGGAGCTGCCAAAATGCTAAAGCTACAAAAGGTAATTAGAAATAGGCTCAAAATAATAAATTCAGCTAATAAATTCAATAATAAATTCAGCTAACATCGTACAGTTTTCAATTTGTTGCAAACAGCTTGATAAATCCAAAATGATGTTCTCAACTCCAGCAGAGCTGAAAGTCATTGTTACCAGACGTTCTGGATAAAGGGCTTTATTTGACCTTAGGAAGTTATTTCAAAATGCAGATCATGCAGCTGAAAAGCTAGGCAGGGCATCATAGTTAGAATAATGTATGAATACACAGTAATATTTGCAAGTAGGCCAGAGCTCAACTTGAACAGTTTGTTACAGATGATAATATTTATTAACAGACATTTAACTGCTCCCTTTGTAGCATTGTGAATCAAAATGTTTAGTACTGTAAGTGAACAGCAGCACTTTCTTAAGTAGTGTAGAAAAGTTTAGTACTTTTGATGTGCTGATATATATTGCCTAAAAATGGATACTTCATGCACATATGTGCAGAAGATTATGACCTTAGTTAAGTGAAAACAAGAAATCATATTACATTACTGCAGAAATGTATCTTTAACATACTAACATATAAAAATAATAACGAAGGTCTTCAGAATTCACTTACCAGAAATAGACTTCACTCCTTGCTCAAGATGCTGTTTCAAGGTTTCCTCCACAGTAACGACTTTGAGCAAAATCCTGAAAAATATCAAGTTAAAAATAAAATAAAACATTTGCTAACCAGTCACACCAGATAAAATGCTAAAGTACTTCAGTATTTAAGCAGACCGTAGGAATAAGAATATGGTTTTGAAAAGTACTGTAAGTTTACTTAATTAAGATTGGGCATGTTGTGTGTCTGTCCTGTATTAGTTCTCTCAGTTGCTGTGCTTTTTAAATCCCAGCATTTGCCTGTCATAGCTGCATCATTTTGGAGTCTCTGTGGGTGAGTGTGTGGGAAGGGGGTTGTCATCAACATTTGCGTCACCGAGCGGGGGCACTAAGGGGGTGGCAACGTTGTGTAAGTGTTCAACGTGCTGTGGGAGTCAGCAGAACAAATGGTAATTTCTCTGCTGTAGGTGGTTTGCAACGTGATGGATACAGTATGTCATACAGGCTCACGTAGGACTTGGGCTGAACACTGAAGGAGACTGCCTAAGAAAATTAAAGGTGTATTTTTCCCCTCAGGAGTCGGGGGAGAGAAAGTGGGTAGCGTGGGGGGGGAAATCCTATAACTCTTTAAAGGCTGGACACTTCTTTGAGTCTTTGGCTTATAGTACTTTGAAGTCAACCCTCACAGAAAATCCAAAACATTAGACTACCAATTTCTTTAAATCATGTTTCCCTGATGAAGGCCATGGTCCTTTAGGACATTCAAAACTGTTGTATATTATTACGGTGTGAGTTATTTAATTTTCATCTTAAAGCTACAAAACTGCTTCAGAATGGCATTAGGGTGTTATTAGCCACAGGTTTCTAAATGAACGATTTAGATTCCAAATTTACAGTATGTGTCAGTTATGGTATGTGTCATAAACGTAAGTCAGTTTATGGGTTTTCCTAGGGATAGAATTGTTCATAATTTAAAACCACATGGACAGTCTGTTACTGTAGGTTCCTGAGCTTGAGAACTGGACAATGCAATCCCTGTATTAGGGTGGGATTTTTTTATACAGTAGGTACTACTGTATAAGTCAGTATGGTAGTTCCACTGTGTCTTCTGGTTTTTGCTCCATCAGGCTCATTGATTTCATATGTATATTTTTGGGGCTTAATTGTAAATTTGCTTTAAGTTCTTGAAAGGTCAAAATGGGATTTGTAATTGGTATCAACTCTCTCCTGAATGTTGCATCTCAGAGCTGCCCTTTTTCAGGTGTGTTGGTGAAATGTAACCAATTTGGACCTCTGCAGAAAGACGGGCCACCCATTGCAGGAGTGACTGATTGTCTCATTCCCACCTGTGACTGTTCTTCAAAATTTGATCAAGTTGAGAAGAGGCCATGTAAAGTTCTGTGCTGAAGTTGTTAGAAACTGTAACCTTGAAGGACGTATCCAGGACTGACTGAAGAAACAAGTTAAATAAAAGTCTAAATAAGCAAGCAGGTTAAATTGTCAGTTAGCACTACAGATTTAGAGGAACTACTGATATAGGTACAGTAAATGACATGGTAGGGCCTCACAAACTGTGAAGATGTTTCCTAGCTGATACTTCTTAGCTAATTTGTATTTCTAATTTGTATATGTGTGCAATGGGCGTATCATCTCTTTCTCCATTCATGGTAAATGGCTGTTGTTTTAATTAACTATTCCAGAAAACATTGCTTACAAAAAGATTTTTCATAGATAGCTAGGGGCAGTCACTAGGAAGTTCTGTTGCTTTAGTTGGTGAGACATCACCTCTTTCCACTTCCACTTCCACTTCGGGACAATGGTTATTTGAAGTTATATTTTGCTGGGTTAATGGTTATTCAACGTTGATAATAATCTACACAGAGACAAGAAAAAATAACTTGTACAAGAGAAAGAACATTGTTAACAATACTCTCAAAAGGACAATATACAGTAAAGTACATCTTTCTGCTATAGTATCATTAAGCATCTCCATTACCAGACATAAAAAATGTGTTCAGGTTAGAATATATCATCATTAATGGTGTTTTTAAACACAAGACAGGGAGGTCTTATTCATAATATTGGCCACTTTCACTCTCTTATGCCTAAATCCGTTTGTGCTCCACCTCTTCTTCACCCTTGTAGCAGCTCCCAGGCTCATTCCTTGTGAAGAGAAGGGGCCTGTTTATATTTCAGACTTGCATTGTTTTCTCGCATTTTGTCTCTACATCACATCAATTAGGATTTGACCATACTACTGAATTTACTTTTTGCATTCAAAAACCAGCTCACAGCAAAACCCAAAGAAAATTTTCAGTGCCAATTTCTGTCTAGAAATACATTACTTATTCAAGCATTCAAAATTATTTTGCAGTCTTCTGTAGCTAAAGTACTGTACCAACTATTAAATATTTCCACTGTAACTTCTTGTTATTATGTTAGGCTTAAAAAACGCTTTGCTTAAATTTTGTTATTGGTATTGAGAGAAACATCCCAACTGTGGTATTATGAAATATGGAAAGCCATTTCATTTATTTAATTTATACCTATTCAGTCTGGAATCCAGAAAAACACTGTTCTGTACTATTCTGTGAATGCAGTCAGCCTGAATTGGCAAAAGTAGTGCAGTAATAGACCTGATACTGAAGACATATTTCATCACTTACTCACTTATTTTACAATTACTAGTTTCTATTAAAACTCTTGATTTTAGCTAAGGTTTTATAAGTATTTTTTTCAGGCCTGTTGAGGAATTTTTTAAATCAAGAGATTAAAACTGTAGTCAACTGATGTAGCTCTGATATTATGAAAAGTCACTGAAGTCTTTCAACAGACTGTATTGTCTCCATGCCAAGATAACGTCAGGCAGTGATAAAAGCCAAAGAAGGCATTTTAACAACCGAGAGCATATTTAAAAGAATTTGGATATTCACAGAACAAAATTGTAATACAGAAGCTTTGATCTTGCAGTTCAGTTTTATTTCAGCTGTAAAGCTTGTTTAGAGAGACTGAGTGGTGTGTGGTTATGCAATATTCATTCCCACCTTCTGTTTATCAAAAGATTTTTCTCGGCAAGATGCCGTCTAATACAGTCCCCAAAATCTCTGCTATCTAAATGCATTTTGAAGTAACTATAAGGAAGAGCATACTTTCTTTTACAGTATTTTAAATAAATGACTCTGTTAATTGATTTATATAAAAGCTGTAATGTGACATTTCTAACTCTGCTATTGCTTTTAATTGTTTATTTGTCTGCTTAGAGAGCCAAAAACCACTTCTTCATACAATATTAAGAATCACAGGTGTGGACATTCTGTGTAAAAACTGACAAATTATGATTGTATGTTATATTATAGTTAGGAGACATGGTAGTATAACCATTCCTGTGCAAGCAGATGGATTTTAACTCATTACATACCAGTCTAGTATATAAATATTTCAAAAGAAAAGATATACAGTAACTAATAAAGAAATGACATTTTTAATCATCTGATTCTGAAATCAAGCCTGTTTATCACACTAATTAACTTTATACAGCAACATTCCAGTGAATTAATGTTCTACTATACAGAATGTATCGAAACTACTGAGATGTTTAAATGAGAAGTGCATTTAAAAGAGGAAGCAGTTCATTATTTAAAGAGTGGGTGTGTGTTTAAATAAGGTGGGTGTTTAAAACAAGCCACATACTGTATCTAAGTTGTTGAACCTCATACTTAGATGTGAAATAGTTTGATAATAACATTAAATCAATTAGCTTCTGAAAATCTGAAGAAGCTACAGTACTTGGGTTATATGGTCCTTTCTAATTTGTAAATGTTGTTTTAATTCATTTTTGTGTTCTTCCATATGGGGATTTGGGAAAGATTGTTAGGGGTACAAATATGTTAAAGTGAACATTTGATGTGGTTAGAATGCTTTCAGTATGTATCAAATGAATGCCTTTATATACAGTAAAGTAATTGTAAGAAAAATAATATTCGAATCATTATAGCATTGGCACTAGGCAATGACATTTATACCAATAATCACTTTGGTTTTGGTTTTCTGTGTCTTACTGTACATATTCATACATATCTCATTTTTTGCATTTCATCACTCATGAAATGATGATGGCAGACCTCCAGAGCTGTATATGTTACACAACAATTATAATTTCCAGTGACTGGTAAGCTGCACATAGTTAAGTTCACATTGGACATCCTGCTTCAGATACAGATATTTTAATTAAAACCACAAATGTCTTATCTCCTTTTAAATTTTCATTTTTAGCTGCCATTTGCTGTCATTAACCTATTGCCTTCTTTCTGTTAGTTTCATGGGGTGTCCCATTCTGTCTTTATAGGCTTGTCAAAGGAGGCGTACCAACAATTCTGACCCACATGCACCTAGCCTCACCAAACCAAGAAGGGTAAGATGTGTGAGAGACAGGACTCGGCTAACAGAACCCCCTGCATCACTTGCACGGGCCAGCCTTCAGTAAAGCCAGGTCTTCACACACAGGGGACGAGAAAGAAACGTTTGGCATAAAGCCTTGTCTAAAGAGAATTACCTCAGAGAGTAGTACAGCTAAAAGATAACTTGTGTTGTTAGAAGTAGTACAGACAGTTACTGAGGAAATCAGGAAGAAACGCGATTCGCTTTGGAACAAAAATATCATGGAAAAATAAGAATTCTCGTTTATTTTCTTTTAAATGCAAATAAAATCAAGGTAGATACTCGAGGTTATGGACTAAAGTCCTGAAAAGTTTTAAAAGTTCATGCCTTGTTGAAAAGATCACAAGTATTGTTGTTACTTAATGCAAGATGGGATGATAAGCTAGTATTTTTGCTTTATGGGACTTATTTTCCATTTAATTTTTTCCCCTTGCTTATTAATTTTTCAAATGGGAAGCTTTGCAAACTTTACATAAGATATATCTAGTAAGTTGTAGATCAATCAAATTAAAGAAGAAGCCTTTGGAATAGACACTTTTTTATGGATTTATTGTTTTCTTTATTGGATTATCCATTCATGTACCTGCTTTATCCTACACAGTTGCAGGAACACCAGACAGGGTACACCCTGCATTGGATACCAGTCCATCACAGGGCGCAAACAGACACAAACATGCATACACTCACACCAGGGCCAGTTTTAGGACCGTTGCTCCTGCTTTTGCTTGGACCATTGGAGTAAACCAGAGAGCCTGGAGGAAACCCACATGAGCACAGGGAGAAAATACAAACTGCACGCAGACAGCACCCCAGGGCCTTATCACTTCAAGGCAGCAATGCTAAGCACTGCGCCACCATACCACCTAGCTCAGGATGAATACCAGTATGTCTTTGGACTGTGGTAGAAATCCAGAGACTGGAGACCATGTTTTTGTCTGACAAATGTAATTTATGTATATTGAAAATGCAAATATATGTCAGACACCCATAATTACATAGAATAAATTAATGGGAATACTGTTCACATAGGTGAATATTATGAGCTGTCTATGTGACTTGTTCAATATAATGATTTTACAAAAATAATTGTGAAAACCACAATTAACATTTTCCGTTCTTTGGAAGAAAGAATCAGATAATGCATTTCAAAAGGTGCAATGAAGGAATTCAGCATGCTCACTGCTGTACTGCCCTGACAACACGTCTTCATTCATAAGCTGTTGCATTGAGTAAACAGCCCAAGATCACTGAGAAGCACCATCCTGTCGTATAACAATTTTCTCTCCATTTTCCTTCAGGAAAATCTATATTTTCTTACTTACAAAAATATTTATTTTAAATATACCCGATACACTATCAAGAGATTTCTAATGTATTCGGAAAGTAACATATCATTTTTATGGTGCCCTTGGACATCACCAGGAAAATACTAGTTTCGTGTCCTTCAGTTCAAAGAAAAGTCAGTGATCTTTGGTGACGTCAAATTTGTGTGCCAAACAGATTTCCTTTTCCGTATATTGGAAATCTGCTTATCATATAGGCATTTTTGAAAAGCAAGTCCTCATTTTCATTAATTGATAACGTCTATTTATAAGTCATACTGTATATTCTGCTTGGCATTGAATTCTAATACCTTTGCTGTGTTTTCCAACCCTGGTCCTGTAGGAACACTGTGTATGCTTGTTTTCATTCCAGCTCAGCTCTAAACCTTCAGTGCTAATTGAATAATTAAAGTCATCTTCTTGCTTGTTTATAATTTTATTTCGCTTGTTTATATGGTTAGTCCTGAGTGTCACAGATTCCCTGCTTCAAGGACACTGTATCTATCCACCTCAGCACACAGAACCTTATGCAGCCTCTCCTCATCTGGTTTGCTGTTATTTCTGACTAAAAAGCTCTTACTAGCTAATGAACACATACAGGTGGGCATGACTCCCATGAGAAGGTCTTTCCTTCTCCACAGATAAAACTGGTTACATAGCTGGCAACACACCCTGAATGTCAGCAGTTATGAAAGGCAGAAATTGATACTTTTAAGAGCTGAAAGCAAATTTATAAATACTCCCTGATTAGACAACTGAAAGCCTTCACATCCATGATGTCCATCAAGTCCAGGCCTGGGACCTCTTGCAAAGCCACTATGGTTTAATGGGCTAAAACTCTTACCTTCTCATGAACCCATGTCCTAGGCATTTTTAGAACAGGAACTATAATGTCAAATTTAGAGGATCGCGTTATCTCCCAGAGTACTGGTCCAGTTCTACTCTACATTCATTTTGGCCAGTCAGAAAAAGATCAGATTTGTATCACATATGGATGGATGATTGCAGACTATCCAGCAGTGACTCACAGTAATTACCACGCAAAACACCGTAGAAGGAGTGGAGAACTTTACTTCCAGTTCCCTTGGTTTAGTAAATGCAGTAATTTAAAGAGATCCGTTGCAGAAAGCCATTATAAAGTACATAAAGCATGTTTATTAGTTCTAATTTGAATAAGCAAATTCAGTAATTAGTTAACAGGTGGCATAGATGGAAATTCGTTTTACCTTGTGAATGACCATATTTAAATGACTTCCCACCAATCATCAAAATAAACAGGCTGTTGCTTTTTATATTATAGGCTAATATTATTACTCCACTCATTTAAATGAATAGGATGTTGTTTTTGCCCCTCTGTGTAGTGTAGGAGTCATAGATATGTTGGGGTAAGACAAAAGTTACCTCACGGGGACTCATCAGAAATGGAGTCAAGTCCTGTTTATCCTCTTTGGGGAAGTTGTTTTGTAAACCACCCTGATGAGCTGGAATGAGGTGTAACCTGTAGGGCTCAGAGACCAGTAAACACATTTGTCCAGGCTCTACAAAAGGCATGGGACAGTGTGACAGACAAGGCTGCTGGTGCATATCACAGATATACATCTTATATTACTGCCGCTGGTAGCTACACATGCTAAAGATGCTTCTTAGTACACCCCTTGTTGATGACAAATATTAATCTTGTGATTTAGTTGTTTTCCTTCTAATAACTATGATTTTGATGCATCTTCTGGTGCTTATATGAAGTTTAGTCATGGAAGAATTGTAGATATACATGTAGATGTACAGTTTTACTATGTGTAATAAACTACTTTTAAATTGGCAATAGGAGCCTACATGTATTTAGCTTTTAATGGAAATTGTATTTAAATGATTAATTCTAAAACAGTAACCTGTAGTATAAGCATATATGAAGTACAGTGGAACCGGCTTTTGATATGCTAAAATGTCTAAGAACTATGGTCCTTGTGCTTCACAATACTATCCTGGAAATGTTTTTATTCAAGCTTAACCAACTGTCAGTCAAGTCTTATTGCTTATGTAAAATATCTGAAAATTATCTGGAGGTTTTGTTGTTTAAGAAGATTAGGGTTTTGTGGAATAGCTCTAATTTACCAAGACAGCATAAGTTTAAACTTCTTTCTTGTTATCATTGTTCATGTTTTGCCGAACTTTCTGTTCTGATTTATAGACTAATTGCAGATTTTTCCTCAAAAATATATACTACATCTCATAAATTGTTTCACACCTTGTATTTAATTTCTCCTCAAAATCTCTTTTGATGTATTCTCTTCATGAAACTGCCCACAAATTATTCAGCTGTTTCAGGGATATCTCGGGATTGCCTGTTTCAGCACTGTTGGTTCATTCTCATTCTCAGCTGTCATAATGAGGAAGTTTTCATTTAATCAGAAGCAATGCTGCTGTTCTACTAAGGATTAGAGGACATTTGTTTGGAAGAGAGTTTTAACTCATGCCTCAGTATCTGGACAGGCCAGCTTTGCTGTGGCATGGTGGTTTTTGACTGATTGTTTTGTGACAGCTGTATTACATAAAGACGTTTTGAGGAACGTTTTTTTTATTTTAAAGAAAGGCAAATGTGAGACCCCATCAAGTTCTAAATCATGTGGACATGTGGTTTAATATTTTTAATGACAGAAGAGCCCAACGACCTGGAAGGATTATTTCGTTATATACAAGGAGTGTAAACACAGCTGTCCCCAGCTTCTTGTAATTGATTTTATTCCACTATACGAAAAGATAAATGTTTTCTATTCTCAGACCCAGTAGAGTATGCTGTTTTTTCCTTTTTTGCTGATTACATTTTGTTTTTTTAAAAATACAATGGTACAATCTTAAACTTTGAAGGTCATTTTTGTTGTTGTTTGTTTTAAACAAAGGGGCAGAAATGATTTTACTTTTGTCATTAGCCTAATAGAGAAAAGTTAAAAGTGTATTCCAGTCTTGCAAGCTCTGCGCTCAAGGAGTTTGTGTACAGTATGTCTCCTTCATACACCTAGACTTTGGAGAAGGCTTCATTTGAAACAATTAAACCAAACATGTTTCATGAATCTGTTTTCCCTGGTACACAGCTGTTTATAAGTTATCAAGATATAGAGTGGACTGCAGACATTAAGTACTGGAGTTGGGAACCTCTGGATTTTAAAATCAATTTCACGATTTAATGAAGACATGAAGTGTCTATCCATTTTCCGTGACTGTTTAGTCCAATACTGAGACACAGTGAACTGACGTTACCATTGCTTCCCAGTACTGGGGCCCTGGTATTAATCCTGTCTGTGTGGAGTTTGTAGGTTTACCACATGTTCACATGGGTTTCCTCCAGGTCTTCTGGTTTCCTCTCTCAGTCCAAAGACACACTCTTAAGTTTCATTAGCTTCTGGGAAAAATTCGCCCTGATGTGATTGTGTACAGTACATGGTTCTGTCAGTGTGAGCCCTGTGATGGACTGGCGTGTGTCCCGATTTGTGAGCTTTGTATGCTGGGATAGACTCTGGCTCCCCCATGACACTGTATTGGATAAAGCAGTTGGAAAATGGATGGATGAAATTAACCTAGCCAGCATGTCTTTGCATTGAGGAAGGAAACCAAAACACCTTGTCAACCCTGAAACCTCTAAAAGTGGCCACAGGATGAACATGCTTACTCCATACATAAGGCACTCCAGGCCAAATTAAATCCAGAATGCAGTATCTGTGAGGCAGCAATATCTAACCACTATACCACTCACAGACCAGAGCAGCTTCTAGAAGTACTGTAGGTTTTTATTTGCAAATATCTTAGAGAGAGGAAACTGTTCACCATTTTGTGCTCGGTTTTTTCACTGTTGTTGCCATAGGCCCCCACAACCATAAACTTGGTAAGTAACAATTGGTTAGTCCCTTCCGACAATTTCCTTACTAGTATTTCCAAATTTCTCCTTTAAACATGTTTAGCTCCAATAAGTGTCATTTCAAATGAAAGGATTTTCTTAATGCAATTTTAATTTCCTGATAGGATGTGCTCCTGCTTCGCCTAGTATCTATTCATACACTTTCTTCCAATTGTAATCACAAAGTGTGATATAATAATAATAATAATAATAATAATTGCTTACACTTATATAGCGCTTTTCTGGACACTCCACTCAAAGCGCTTTACAGGTAGCATCCACCTGGATGATGCGACGGCAGCCATAGTGCGCCAGAACACTCACCACACATCAGCTATCAGTGGGGAGGAGAGCAGAGAGTAATGAAGCCAATTCATAGAAGGGGATTATTAGGAGGCCATGATTGGTAAGGGCCAATGGGAAATTTGGCCAGGACGCCGGGGTTACACCCCTACTCTTTTCGAGAAAGGAGGTCTCCATCCAGGTACTGACCAGGCTCACACCTCCTTAGCTTCAGTGGGTTGCCAGTTGTGAGTTGCAGGGTGATACGGCTGCTGGCCATATAGTAAAATAAATTACTGTATATAAATATTTATAATAAAACAAATATCACAGTCTTGATCTTGAAATGGGAAGGGGAACTATGTGTGTATCATCATGCTTGTTTAGCAATCTCCACCCATCTGTAATCTTAATACCATTAAGGGTCACACAAGCCTGGAGCCTATTCCAGACTATTACTTATTGCATTTCTTGCAGAAAGTATCCTTAAATGTACAGTATAGATGACTGTATATGGGAGTTGTTGATACGGAATGTATTTATGTAATTGAAGAGGACTGCCCAATCTCAACTGTCCTGACAAAGTCCATGACCTCTTTATCTGTATCCCTTCACAGCAAAATGTATTTTTTAAGATACAGTATCAGAGGCATCATACAAGCATTCAAAAAATCAACAAAGCTCTTTTAAATCTCTCCCTTCATTTCATGATTCCACACACCTTCCCCTTAAATTTGTATCCCCAAAGTTGTCGTTATCTCCCTTTCGGTGTACCTTATGTCAATCCTCCTCATTTCTTTTATTATTTTCCAAACCTACACCTTTCCATTTTATGTCTGCCCTGTCCCCCTCCTCAGACCTGAGTAGGTTGCTTGTTTTTATAGTTACTTTTTGCCTTTTGAGTGTGGAATTAACCTTTACTTAAGATCAAGGTTACAAACAAGAATAATCTATTCATTTGGTTGTTGATAGTTAATTAATCTAAGCATCTCATCTAGCTATTTCTTGATTTCTGCTTCAGCAACCCTGTTCCATACTCCTGCAGCCCTTTGTGTTAAGAAATCCCTCCTGGTCTCAGCTTTACCATACTTCTTCATTTCCAGCTTGCATGCATCAGCTGCAGGAGAGATGGGGATTTCACTGACTATTTTGCAAGCCTGCAGTGAAAAAAAGTGGTCAGTGTGTGGCCTTTCAGAAGGGTTGCTTGAGCAGCAGGCTGGGAATGGCCAACTCACGTCCATTCGGTTCCAATGCTGCAATGCCACCTGTGTGAATTCCAGTCACAGGCAGTTCATGATACAGCCCGTACTTAAAATGGCATCACTGACAGTGGTCTATGGGGCTCAGTATACATGCTGAATACATACCTAGTGTTTGCTGGCTGAGCCACTGATGAGCTGCTGATAACTGTAGGAATTCCTCCCCGTTACTCAGAATACTCTGCTGTGTTGTGGCTTGCCAAGTTTCTGATTTGAAGTGTTCTTTTTTTTTGCGTGTGTGTTGGCTTTTGGATCTAGCTCTACGATCAGTAAGCACTGGGAGGCAGAGCTGGCAGCACTAAAGGGCAACAACGCCAAACTGACCGCCGCGCTCTTGGAATCCACAGCCAACGTCAAGCAGTGGAAACAGCAACTGGCCGCCTATCAGGAGGAGGCAGAGCGGCTGCACAAGAGGGTGAGCGCATGTGAGGAGGCTTTAAGGGCTGCGTGGACATGAGTCTGGTGTGTGTCTGCAGGAGTATATGTGCCTGAGAGTGTACACTTGTATACAGTGACCTCCACAGGTACTGGGGCAGCAATCTGAAAGGTGTTAATTTTGCTTCACAGTCAATTTGTATCTGTGAATAATGATAATTAATATGAATGAAAAGAACAATGTGATATCTATTATTCTGAGTGATTCCATACATGTATTTGATCAGAATAAAGACACATTTTTTTTGGTTCAACCCAGGGATTTCAAGTGATTATAAGTATTGACACACAATCACTTTAAGTTAATTTCAAAGGGTAAATGTCAGTATTTAGTTGCATGCCCCTTTGAGACAGAAACTATTGTGACTCACTGAGCTTGCAAAATTAGAGATGCTTTGCTGCAGTCACATTGCGTTCTTCTCAACTCCTGTGGAGTTCTGACTTTTTAATATACTCAGTTTTTTCTTGAGTATATTAAAAGCATGCTCAGTTGGATTTACATCTGGAGATTGACGTGGCCAGTCTAAGATTTTCTCCTTTTTTTTTCTGCTGATGAACTCCTCAGTTCCATTGGTGGTTACAGCATGTCTTAGGTCATTGTCTTGCTACATAGTAAAGCAAGGAAGCATTTTCTTCTACATAAGGAGACTTAATACCTCTGTAAACATCAGAATTCATTCTGCTGCTGCCATCATTAGTTATGCTACACCATCAATAAAATTAGTGAGCCAGTTCCAAAAGGTGGCTGAGCATGCACTGGCCATGATATTACCTAGTAAAAATAGGGAAAAAGACCAAATAACCTAACAAGCAAAGGAATATGAGGGCTCACTTAAGAAACATGGCAAAGATACTTGAACCAATAGAAAAAAGAAGGATTTATATAAGGTGAGCCAGCTTACAAACCTACCAGAAGGGGGCACTATTGGTGACAATTCCCCAGCAAAAGCTTATCATTAATGATAATCAACCAGTAACAGTGTAGATCACAGTCAGTCATCACTGATGGCAAGCCAGCAGCTGCAGAATATAGGGATAACCTTTCCACTCCAGACATTATTTCATTCATATAAGTTTATGTCCCCGGTCTTGTACTGTGTGCGAGAGCAAATTAGCACAGGGAAAGGACAAAATACAAAGAAGACACATTTCTGGAAACTAAAAATATACACAAGCCTCCGTGGGGCTTCTCTGATTTCAGTGGTCAGAGCTGATATCCATCAGCTAAGAGGAAGAAGTGTCCTCAAACATATAGCGATGCTTTGGAGCTTTCTTACAGTAAAAATGGAATAAAATACCATTGTTGTTTTAAATAATAATAATAATAATAATAATAATAATAATAATTACTTTATCATTCACACCCTATTATGTAATTGCTAAGAACTCCATGCAGGTTTAGGCAAAATGCTATATTTGTTGCCACAAAGCATTTTATATTATGCAGTTGTTGAAAGACTTTAAAATTATTTAATCTTGATGAGGACCAATTACTTAACTGTGAAGAACTGATTAATAAATCTAACACATACAGTATACCTGTACTAAATTGCACTAAAATGCATACCTGTACTAAATTGCACTAAAGTGCATTTTAAAATTTTGATGCAATTGAAATTCGAGAGAAAAGATCAAATGAACCTAATGGCTTTCATCTTACAGGATGATTTTCACAGGGGAATGTAATGCTGCAGATAAACTGATAAACATGTAAATTTATAAACTGATTCGACCATATAATAATTATTAGTGTCTCTAGCAACAGCATTTTCCATGCATTATCTGACTTAAGTGTTTATACTGTAAATGAAATTTGCCATTTAACAAATGAGTACCTTTTACTGACAGATAGACTGCTGCTGACTTAAGAAAACTGCCTGGATTGTAAATAAGGTAGATTTGTGATGACCTCAAGTGCAGGTAAGCAAGTATTAGTGTAGCTTTATCCATGGCAGATATATCCCCATTGTAAAGACATTGTGCACACAGAGAGAACCTTTTGTTCTGTGTTTCTTCAGGTGACAGAACTGGAGTGTATGAGCGGTCAAGCCAATGTTATAAAATCTCACAAGACAGAGCTCAACCAAACAATTGAAGAGCTGGAGTCCACTTTAAAAGCAAAGGAAGAGGTACTGTACAATATATTTCTAATTACCTGGTTGTCAGACAAAATGTGTTTCATCATAAGTTTAAAAAAAAAACAATAAATTGATTTACATGACATCCCTTAATAAAAGGGGTGTCAAATTGCTTTTAATGTTCATGGTTTTTGCAATAATAAAGATTTAATGATTAAACCATTAGTGTCTGAAGACAGTTTTCTGTCACTGTTTTTCACAGCAGATCACTTTATGATACTATCACATTAAAGAAAAAAATTGTCTTTTCCTTGTGTATAAAGTATGTTATAGAAACAGAACATATCTGTTCATGTGTTGTTTGTGAATTTTATTGTACCTTCAAATAATAAGATAAAAAGACAAAAGTGGAACAAAACACGAAAAATAATTAAAATAGCATAGCATGATCAAGACTGTACTTAAACAAATAGTTTAAGATATAGTATTGAGATGTTCACAATAAAATCATAAATAATTCTACTATGATACTGACCCACGAAAAACTATTTGAAAAGAAAATCAGTGAAACTACCATGTTGATGTTTATATGAGAGAACTGGAATGTTAGGATCAGTTACAGTAATGTATATGTGTTTTATTGTTTTCATTGTCTCCTTTTTTTTAGTTGTTGTCTTGCAATCCACTGAAAGTAGTATGGTTCACAAGGGTCAGTCTTTTTTCTCAGCAAACTGATGTTGCCTGAAGGTGGGCTGTCTGTTCAATGTTTATACCTGAAGCCAAATTGTCTCAATGACATGGAAATAAAGAGGAAAACAGGGAGATGTTCTGAAATATATCAAACTCTATTTCTCTGTTCTAAAAATAACTGTTCAGCAAGAGTTTTTAAGTTTCACAGATATTATTATTGTTCCTTTATAGCTAATTGAAGAAATACATGACCATTTTCTTATACCAAAATGTTCTCTTTTTGTCAAAGTGTCACCTACAAATATCTTATTCATTTTATTCCCTGATGATGGAAGGCTGTCTAAAACACGTAGACACTAGAATCTCTCTCTGCCACATCAGGCTCAAAATCACCAGGGCCACAGTGTCAGTGCACTTTGTTCCACACAAGCTTTTAATTGCTTTGGCCAGAGCCTACAGGACACCTGCCCATTGCAGGCCACACACTCACACCTTGGCCAGTTTTCCCAGAGGCCAATTTGAACTCTACTTTGGAGTGTGGAAAGAAACCAGAAACCAGAGCACCTAGAGGAAACCCACATGGACTCAAGGACAGCATACCAACTCGTCACAGATAGCACCCCAGGAATTGAACTCAGAGCCTCAGCACTGCAGCTATACTAACCACTGCACCACCATGCAACCTCAGTTGCTTTAAGTGTTTATTTAGATAATACTGCTCACCAGGCTAAAAAATGCATGTGCAGTACTTGCAATGAACTGCATGCTTAGTGATCCAATCTAAAATATATATACAGTAAAATGTATAAACAATCTTATATCTGTCTGGGAAGGTAATTATGGTTAATTACCTTAATCAGTGAACTAGTAGGCAGTGCATTCCTCATGATAGTGAGCATGGGAGCTTAGCCAGAGGACATTGCTTATCTCCTGAATCTAGAATCACTCTAGGTGCTCAATTCCTTCATTCTCTCCTGATTCTTCGCTAAGGAAAGATGGCAAGAGACCTTAGCACACGGATGTCAAAAAGGTCCACATACATCTTCCCTTTGCGTCTCCAGCACACCTTGTATTCGAACCAGGACGGCTGCTCTTTGCACTGTCCTTCTTGCCATTTTAACAGGGAAGTCACAGTAGGGCTTAATTGTTCAAGCTTTGCAGTTTTCGGGGCTTTGTTAAAAACAACTGGCCGCCTACCAAGTTGTAAAAACAAGTCTCTAAGAGTTGATATTTTACTTTGTCATTTGCAGGAAATAGAGAGACTGAAAGAAGAAGTGGACAATGCCCATCAGCTGCAGGCGCAAAGGGATTCTCTCACCCAGAAACTCCAGGTATGGGCTCTGCCTTCTATCCTGCAAACGTCCCCCGAAAGGACCAACATCTACTGTACTGTATGTCAGATGGACTTTTTTTTTTTACAAAATCTGTGCTAGTATTTGAGCTTGAGCAAGGCTATCATATTTAATGAGGAGATTTCCTCACAGAGGAACAGAGAATGGCTTAATCAGCACTGCTTCCTTGGAAGACTAAGAAATTCACCTGAGCGTAGTTGTGGACCTCGCTGAAAACAAAATTAGAATTTAGTACAAAATAAGTGAACCTGTTAATCATGTTGGTACAGAGGCTAGCAATGAGAAAACAGAAATGACTGCACTTTACCTACAGTAAATCACTATAATTGACTAAAGTGGATGAGCACTGTATAGAATAGAGTAATTGGATATTATAATAAGCTGAGTCTGAAAAAGGACAGACTTAGGTACTGTATTCTGCAAGATAGCATCCAGTCTCAATGGAATCTAGCAAGTGATGCCAACCAACAAAATAATATTAGGATTTCTATTGTACAATCTGCTAATGGAAAATATTCAGCAAATTGTTTTTTTACACAGCTTGGGTTTCGGAGATGCACAACTGTTGTAGGCATGTGATTAGAGTGTTATTGTACTCGTTAGTAATGCAAATGACTGACAGTGGTTGCTTTACTTTAATGCAGTAGCAACTTATTAACCTGGCTGATGCAAACCATCAAAGCTTTTATATTGTTTTGTTAAGGTTTTAGGCATTTCTAAGTTTTGAACTTTGTGTAAGATTTTATTAATAAATTTAACAATTCGAATATTCGAATGAGCCTAGACAAAGAGAAAACAACATTAAAGGAGCATAAAGAGCAAATAAATCTACAGTATAAGTGGTCTCCTTTGTCTGCTCATCAGTAGAGAAAAATATTTGGAATTTTCATTATACCCTTAAAAAGACAGACCTTGTCTATTTAAAAGGTTGAGTATTATTATTTTAGGTATTACGATGCTTTTGATTTCTTTTTATTTAGTTGAATTAGTGTGTATGTTCATCAATATGTGTGATTTAAAAATGTAACCATTGTTTATCTACTTCAGAATGCCCTACAACATAAAATCCATTGTTTTCACTTCAATTTAATCTTGTGCTTATCGTGTGTCTATTCTTGTGCTTAGCTTATCTACAGAAAAAAACATTTATAACATATCTTCAGAACTGTTCTTTTCAATGAAGAGTTTATACATTTATAACAAATCTTCTGAAGAAGGCTCCAAGGCCGAAACGTTGTGTTTTCTTTCTTCTTTTTTTCAGCATGGAATAAACCTATTACTTGTTCATCTTCAAAACATTTTTTCTTTTCAATGGTGGCACAGTGTGTTCAGTTCTGTACTTGGGGTACTACAGGTGTGGAGTTTGGATGTTTTTCCCAGGTGTTACGGATGCCGGGTCAGCTTCCCGTGGAAAGTGTAGTTAAGACACTATGTGAGGCAGCTTATCCGGAAAAGAACCACAAAACCTACTTTAGGGAAGACACTTGAGGTTATTTAGTGCTCACTGTGATAACAGGGAAGTCCATGCAAAAGTGAAGGGTAGGTATCCAAAAGCAACCAAATCCATAAGGGTCTTGGGGAATCAGGAAACAGTCCGTAGGTCCATTGCTTGGAATTCCATCTGGAGACGAACATAGATGCAAACACACGAAGAACAAGATTCTAAGGAATACGGGGCTCCACTGTACAGTAGCTGTAGATGTAGCTTTTAGCTACAACAGGCCTACTGTATACCCTCAGGCTTCCCCTGAAGCCTGGTAGTAGGTGGGCCATCAGGTAACCATATTCCAAAGCTGAGCCCCTAAGGCAGGAAAAAGTCAAATTTAATAGGGAGAAAACTAGATGCACCAGGAAATAACATAGGTAATAATTAATGGTCAAGAGAGGGTTAGAGCACCCTCTGGAGGAGGGGATGCTGACCGTTCCACCAGCTTCACGTGTGTTTCCATTGGGTGCTCCAGTTTCCTCTCACAGTCCAAAGACATACTGGTAGGTTAATTGACCCTAGTGTGAGTGTGTGTGTCTCCTGTGAAAGACTGGCGTCCTGTCCAAGGTGTATCCTGCCTTTTGCCTGTTGCTTGCTGGGATAGGCCCTGGCTTCCTGGTGACCCTATACTGGATAAAAATGAAGAAAATGGATGGATGTTCAGAAAAGAACTGAGCTTCAAGTGAGAAATGGAACATTCTTGAGACATTGGACAGAAATACATAACTTATTAAACCAAATAAAAATGACTGCATTTACATCCATAAATTTAAAGTATTTATGAATGTAAATGTATTAGATATCTGGTGTATATTATGATATTAACATCTGGGTCTGTTTCAGGCTGTCAGGCTGTGCTCTGCAGCCAGGATAGATAAATGCTTTTCTGATGCTCAGTCATTTGCAAGTCTTTATCCTTAGCAATACCATGGACTGATATAAAGGCCATATAACAGCAAGACAAATCAAAATCATCTTCCATCGTTCATTTCTCGTCCATTCAAGAAAAAAAAAAAGCAAAATGGTTTAACAGCTTATTTTTCTCAGTTCTCAGATCAATGGGAATGAGATCATATTTTCTTTTTCGATATGCATACCAGCATATCCAACCATCCATCCATTTTCTAATCGCTTCTTCCAGTTCAGGGTGGTGGGTGAGCCAGAGCCTGTCCTGGCAGGCAACTGGCACAAGGCAGGATACACCCTGGACAGGATGCAGGGCACACACAGACACAAACACACACACACTCCAGGGCTTATTTGTCCAAGGAGGCAGTTAACCTACTAGTATGTGTTTGGATTGTGGGAGGAAACCAGAGCACCCAGAGGAAACCCACACAAACACAGGGAGAACATACAAACTCAACGCAGACAGCATTCCAGCTCTGGAATTAAACAGAAGGCCCTAGTGCTGGGTGGCAGCAATGTTAACCACTGTGCCACATGCCACCCCATTCCAGCTCTGTGTACTGTATATAGAAGAAAAGGTGTGGTTATTCCTCTCTCTCTGCAGGAAACGGAAACACGGAACAAAGATCTGGAAGTGCAGCTGAGCGAGCTGGAGCAACGCCTGGAGAGCAGCCAGATGGAGCAGGAGGCCTTCCGCAAGAACCTCAAAACGCTGCTGGAGATTTTAGACGGCAAAATCTTTGAACTGACCGAACTGCGAGATAACCTGGCCAAGCTGATAGAGTGCAGCTAAAGCTCTGTGCCACATGACCTCCTCCGAAAATGAGAACACACAAAAAAACTAAACTAAAGGTGCCCACGGGAGTCCTGCCTACCTTCCTTTTTTCTCCGTTCACCTGGAAGATAAAAGCGTATTATTTTTAACATATGATATACTGCTAATGATGTTTTGTAGCATTCCATCCTATTGAGAAATATACAGTATGGTCTGCTTTTTCCTTCCATTTCCAACAGGTGGTATATATTGTGCTTTGTGCTTCACCTTGAGTCAGTGAGCACTTCTGATTTATTATTAATGCTGTTATTAACACATTTTCCTCTTATTGTTGTTTCTCCATGACAGTTGGCATTATCAGCTAAGGTAAGGCACCTGACAAAGGGAACTGAGACTGTCGATTAGGTTTTTGCTCAGCATCCTTGGCTGGAGCTTGCCCTGATGGTTCAGTGTACCGCATTGCTGGCTTTCTAATGACATGTCATGAAGGCTTTGCTGGTTTTTGCAGTTTGTTACTTTATAGCCGCCACCTCTAGGAATCAAGCCTTTCCTCAGCCATACCTTACTGCCCCAATGGCCTTCTCCCCTCTATGAAACTGCCTCACTATTTATCCTGTAGACGTTACAGGAAGTGTAACAATTACATTTTGTGACTTCAGTTTAAGGGCGAGGCATTAACAGAGACCTGTACACAATGAGCAATACAAGAGGAAGCCTCTGGACACCACTGCAGTCCCACAATCAGGTATTCTATTAATTTCCTGACTGACGTGTGAGTGACCCATGTTGGGCCTGCACTCAGTGGGCTCCTCACCCTGAACTTACACAAAGAGGGTCTTTTATGCTGAGTGCCGCGTGGGTCAGCAGCGACTACAAAACAGTCTTTTTATTTCTATACCTTTTATTCTTTATTTTATTTTTTAATAAAACAACTTTATACTCTTCTTGTAAAAAAGTAATTGTACAAGACTGTTTGGTTAAATCTACAAAGGGTATTTTCTTTTCTTGGGGGGTTGTCTTTTTTTTTTCAAAGTGCAATGGTAGACTTGACTCCCTCGATTTCTGATAATTTTAATGATTATTATTCGTGATTCATGAAAAAAAGGAAAAATGCTGTTCTTGGACCTCAAAGGCTTTTCTTTTCTTTTCTTCTTTTTTAACGTATGGTATTTATGGGTCTTCTGATTGTATTTATAGGTGTGAAAAACATTGGCAATATTTTTGAATTATTTTAAAAAAACTTTAAAAAAGCAGCTTGTGCTGTTCATGAACGACATGATGCAATTAAGGATTTAGAAAACAAATTTGCCAAATATGTTTTCCTGTACAGTGTATTTATTGAAGATGTCTTTGGAACAGAGGCATCATGGGCAGCTTGCAAAGGTACTGTTTGTGGGGTATATTATTGCCAAAAAATCTGTGATATTATAAACATATATATATTAATGGAGAACACTATTTAAGGGCTTGTAGTTGGATTTGTTCATTTTAAGGAAATGTATTACAGGGTTAAGATGACACTTTCTACTATCAGATATAACAAGCATTATTATAGATCTTTGAAAGGGAGTTTTGAGTAAGAACTTTAAATGTTGATATACCTTTTGTTTAATGACACAATTGTCATCTAAAATTGGTAGTTGAAATTGGTCTGAGCTGTAGTTTTCATTCCTCTCCCCTCTTAGCTGTTAGCTCATATAAAAGGAATTTTATACAGTTTTACCTGAGCCAGATACAAAAAAATGTGCCCTGGTTTATTTACTTTGTCAAGGCTCCAGAGGAATCGGACTCCTGCGTAGGAAAGAAATCGTCCCTGGAGCCTGGAGAAACTTTTGTTCTGTCACTATCAGAAACCTGAAGTCATAACATTGTGTTTAAATAATTGAATTACTACAAGGGAGTCCTGTGAGCTGAAGAATAACAGGTTTTATTTTGAAATACAGTGACAATATTCTAAACAACATGTGTTGGGTTGCTTTATTTGTCTCGGTAATGTCATTTTTCTCCTCCGATAGAATCAATTCACAGGCGTCACAAGGGTTCTCACCAGAGGATATAAAGACCTTGCTGTTTGTTATTAATGAGGTCTTGACCTAGGGGTGGCATGGTGGCATAGTGGCTAGCTTTGCTCACTAGTGGGGACCTAGGTTCAATTCCTGGTGTGCTCTCTGCGTGGGGTCTGTAAGTTATGCCCATATTTGTGTGGGTCTCCTCCAGGTGTTCCAGTTTTCTCCCACGTCATACAGTAGGTCAATTGGCTTCTGGGAAAACTGGTCCTTGCGTGTGTGCATGTTTGTGTCTCTGTCTGCGTGTGCCCTGTGACGGACTGGAAACTCGTCCAGGGTGTATCCTTGCGCCCATTGGTTGCCGGGATAGGCTCCAACTCCCCCCAACCGTGAATTGGAGAAAGAGGTTAGAAATTAGATGGATTGATGGGCTCGACCTAAACCTATATATGAAACAGAAGAGCAAATCAGAAAAGACACAAGATTGTGGTTCAAATAAATATACTTTATTGAATAAAACCAATGTATTATGTCAGCACCAAAACTGTGAATATGATGTTACATCACATGTACAGAAAAAAAGAGGCATTTTCAGTACTTGGTATACAATGTTTTATTCACCTCAGGGAAAAAAATGTAGGTTTGAAATACAAAGCAGTCATCAGGATTACAATGGTAAGAATAAAGAATAGGCAGAATAAAGGCAAAAAACTGTTAGAGCAAATATTTTACATTTCAGTGATATTGCTATACAAATGCTTGCTTAGTTTTTAAAAATTATCTTTTAATAAATACATAATCTTGTAATTTTAGGCAATTGCTCAATGCATTGTGAAGATCCAACTCTAATCCTTTACAATACAATGTACATTAAATAGAATGTTTCTTTTTTTCAAAACATGTCTATTTCTAATATAATATTGCACATATCTAGTGACTGGCTAATCATATACTAATGAGGTTGATCATGATGTGCCCAGGCAAGCCAGATATTTAACATCATAAAATTAAATGGTTCAGGTAACATTCTGTAGTGTTGGCCAAGACCTAGAACAGAGATAAAGATAAACTGAACATTATAAAGCAATGAAAGATAAACGCAGCAAACAGTGTTTAAAGATCAGACAGAAATTACTTTAAATAAATCTATAAAGTACAGTACATGTAGTTTACAAATATTTTCCTTTTGATCAACTAAAAGTTCCATGGCAGGATACAGTATACTTGGGATAAATCAGTACTGAACAGAAGTCAACAGATGTGCTACACTGTACCATGGGAGAACATTGTGCAATAAGTGACATTATTCAGTTTCATTACTTGAGAATTTGATAACTTCAACATGCCGTGATCAGCAACCAGTAAGAAAACTGCCAGTTGGCATGGGCATGCATACACTGTTGTCACTGTATACCATAATATGCACTTGTCATTAATTTGTTTATAAAATAATGTTGCAAAGAAACAATTAGTTTTAACTGGCCAAACAAGGTAATCAAATTTCATTTTAAAACAGCAGGATTACTGTACATGAAAACTGCTTTTTTAAAACTTCATTACACTTCTTACTATATTCAGTGCACCTTGATTTCAAACTTCATATTAATATTCATATCAGGTTATGCTTTAGAAATAAATGGTAATACTTAAAAAATACAAACACACAAAAGGCTCAAATGAGGCAAAATGAATATGGTTTTCTATTTATAGAATTGGATAAAAAGAGGGATATAGCTGAGCTGACCAAATTAATCTGACTTGATGGAGCTGTGACAGTGAGTGGATGATCACAGGGATTTGGCTGGATTCAGCACACTGATCATTAAACACCAGAGAAGTGAATGTCATTAGCCACTCTACCCTAGAATGGCCTGTCACAAGCAGCCTACAGTACTTGAAACTCCACCTCTGAGTCGAACAGGCAGCAGTCAAAGTCTCCTGGTTTTCTTAGAATACTGTTTCACAATGAATAAAACAATATCTGCAGCAACAATAGAGAAAATAGGACATTTCAGCACAAACATACAGCAACAGGCCTGCATAGTTAAATGGGAAGAAAACATTCATTCCCCTGAAGTTTCAAATATTTTTTTAAACAGCCCATACTACTGTAACCCACACATGTGATTACACACTGAAGCCTCATAAATAAAAGATTACCTTGGAACATAATTTGTTCAATAGTATCAAGATTTTGCCAGAATGGTGGTTATTTATAAAACAGAAATAACATAACTATGCATGTAATCATGGGAGTACCAGTTAAGACCGTGTCCCTTGTTAGCAGAACTGTCATTTACCTGTACACATCACAGGAATTCTCTATGCCTTTTGTTAAATAGATATTTTGCTCTACATGGGTATACATGGTACCTCATCATCTGGTTGTCTGAACCAACCGAGGAATATTCAGTTTTGCTTGATTTTTAGAAAACTTGGTTCAGAGCATAGTTTCACTTCACAAAATGATAACCCTGTTACAAGCTTAAAAATGATCTGAATTGTCAGTGCCTTTGATCCCCTTACTTGAAAATAATGAGCACATTCTTCAGAAATTAAAAGCAGCTTCCTTGAACAATACTGATGTAATTCTGATGAAAACAGTATCTGAATAGTAACCACACTCATCCGTTAACATGTCTTTCTAAAATCAGCATTATTTGAAATGCGAGTGGATGCAGCACTGTACCAATAAAACTCTCCCTGTAAGCTGGTTCTCCTCCTTCTCACTGCCCACACAATGGCTAAAGGAATACATCAAACTGCGTTAGTAATGAAAACAAAAAAAAGAAGCTAAATATAAAAACTAATAACGTCTTAGTGCAAGCCTCCTCCTGCTTGCCTCTTGAGATAACTACCCACACGCTGGACTTTAGCCTCTTACATTTAAACTGAAGCTCTTGTTTCAATTATTAATTTCTTTCAAGTCAATTTATTTATTTGAGACAAGGAAAAAAACTCCAGCATCAGAGGGCGATTATTCACAAAAATGCACAAATAGCTTTATATCTTCGTGTTCACCTCACCAGCCATGGCCTGCTCTGATATCATAAACACCCACTTTCCTTAGCAATAACTGCGCAAGCCGAAGACGGCAACCACAGCACCGCTCTAGTTATTTGCACAAATGCCTTAGGGAAGAGCCTTACTACAGCAGACGACCTTCGATCACAGAATCCTAGCGCCACCCAGAGGATGAACAGTAAAACAGATCTAAGATTTCAAAAAACAAATTTGGTATCCAGTCAGAAACCTTAGTTCATGAATGTCTTCAAAATAGAAAAAAAAACTAAAAATATATATTTACTAATTAAATTGAGAGATACATTTATGCTTGTATTTCATAGTGTGTGAAGTCATCAAGCTGGACATGATACTGAAGTACATTTTAATTTCTTTGGTTAATACAGGGGCAGCACCATGGCACAGTGGTCAGCATTACTGCCCCACAGCACTGGGGCCCTGGGTTCAGTACCTGGGGTGCTATCTGTGTGGAGTTTGTATGTTCTCCCTACGTTCGTGTGGGTTTCCTCCAGGTGCATTGTTTTCTTCCCACAGTCCAAAGACATACTGGTAGGTTAATTGGCTTCTGGGAAATTTGGCCCTAGAGTGATTGAGTGTGTGTTTGTGTCTGTGTGTGCTCTTTGATGGACTGGCATCCTGTCCAGGGTGTAACCTGCCTGGTGCCCATTGCTTGCCAAGAGAGGCTCTGGCTCCCACACAATCCAGTATTGAATACAGCAGTTAGAAGACGGATAGATGTGGCAGTTTGTACTTAAGCATATAGTTCTTGGGTCCTGGGATTAACTGCAGGTTTTTGCACCTTCTGTGAGGAACATGTACTGTATGTTCTACCTTTGTTCATGTGTTTACTCCAGGTATGCTCCCCGTTTCCCCCCACCTCGCAAATATATGCTGACTGGGTTAATTGTTTTTCTAAAATGTCCAAGTGACACTATGAAGTGATACACTTGAACTGACTGTTAAATTTATTAGGCTCTGTGGGGCCTCTTGTGGATAATTAATCAAATTAATTCAACCGAAGTCTGAGGCATTGTCCAAACAAAACTCAAAAGCAAGTGCCTCCACAATTTAAATGAAAAAAAGTGATAACAGCATTATGAAATCTGAATAAAAAAAACACAGCATAAATGTCTAAACTCTCACAACAACACACTCACCTTTTAAAACTAAACAAGGAAACAATATTTAACAAAACACACAATAAAGTACTTGGATTATAAAATGCAAGTTTGTCAGTATCCTAGACAATCTTTGTTATCAGGAAGTCTGAAATTTTTTTTGTGTATATTCAATATGATAGAATATATACTAAACATGTCAGTAAATATTAATAAAATATAAAACATTTGTATTTTGTTTGTTTTTTAACTGTATTTTTTACTCTTTTATTTGTATTTTAAAAGTCAGCTTTATTGCACTTTGTCAGGGCTTCATCCCACTTTTAAATATGACATTTTTTTTGAAAGACCACCTAAAGATGGCTAATGATATTTATCTTGATTATGTAAATCATTGTTCATTACTTTAAGGCAAAGCAACACCACTATTAAAAATTAATATAAAATACCTGTTTTTCTTTAAAGCAGGCAATCTGAAGATCTTCCAAGAGATTACATAATGAGATTAATTTGTGCTGAAACTTTTACAAAGCTCTTTCCAGCAAGGATTAGCTCAATCCCAAATACAACCAAATGGATTGAAAGCCTCCATCTGCCTCCACGTTTTACAGAGGGGCAATTTCCCCTTAACAGCTTGTGATAAATCATTTATATCCATTTCAGCTCCTTCACACCAAAAGCCTTGTTAACTAAACCACAGTTTCACAAGAACCCAAGCCAAAGATCCTCCATTATTGCCTCCTAGACCATTACATTCTCCACAGTATGGCTTTTACTGAATATACTGTGTACTAATGCCTGATAATTGTCTAATAGATTCGGTTCTCTCCTTAAGAGATTGCAATATTTGCGCAAATTAAAAAAAGAAAGGCTTGCAGTTTATTACAACTTTTGTATCTAGGCCATTTTATCTGTAGCCACATACTCTCCAAAATTCATTTTCAGTTTCACGGCCAGTCTTTTTATCCACACTACTGAGAAAGACAAAAGATGTGTTAGACACACATGTTGGAATTGAGGATGGTTTTGTGAGTTACACAAAAAAGGAACACCCAAACCAGTGTGACATTACGAAGTCAGCCGGAAGGTCCCAGGGCCAGGGGTGAAAGAGATTATTCACATGGGTATTGTTCACATTCAAAAATTTGCCCAGACATGCTGAACAAGGGAAGAGTTATAAACACAGTCTGGGTCTTCTCAATGAACTCTGATGAAGCGCACGTCATATCTCTTGAGCCAAAGGCAGTTGTGCCCTTTTGTTAATCATGATCTGAGCTTCTTTTTGCCAAAATTAAACTACAGATCTCCCCTCTCCACAAACACACATTGTTAAGCTTGCTATATACAGTACTGTAATACATCTTACCTACAGTATAACCCATATTCATACAGGTAAAAAAAAGAGTGCTTGGTTAATAATGAAAGCCAACTTTTTATTACTGATCACCTCTTATTTCCCATGAGTGACCATTAAAAGGCTCATGGTGTTTAGAAAGGAATGGTGGGAAGCATGGGAAGAAAGACAGGCCAAATATTAGCTTACATTACAATGCAGTTGCCTGGCCAAAGAATCACACATTAGACTGGACCCAAAAAGAGGGTCCGTCAAAATCAGGTGTTACTCAATGTTATCCATGACAAAGCAATCTTGGGACGTTCCTTGTAAATTTTCTAGACATTCGGGTGATGGCCAGATTCCAAACGATTCTATTGGCTCCAGTTAGTGTGGAGGGGGTGAGGGTTTAGGAGGCAAAGAGTTTAAGAGTCATGTCTGGCAGATACTGTTCTGATGTGCAATTCAGGAGCTGCCGTTATAGAAAAAGACTCCAATGTTATACAGTAGTTGCCATTTTATACCATACGAACCCCGTCTAGACAATCAAGCAATGTCATTGAATGTATACTTCACATACCATTTAAGAAATTCTTATGCTTTGGTACTGACAACATAGCTGATAAAATATTAAATAACCCATTTAATGGGCTTGTGGTCACACCCCTCTCTTGGCCCCTTTAAGGCCAGTTCGGTTTGTCCTCGGTTTGAGGGCCATCTTTCTATGAAATTTGCATAGTGGAATGCTGAAGGAAGAAACACAGTCCTCAAGCCTGAAGGTCAGTGACTCTCTAGTGTTTTACGGGATGTAGCATCAGCAATTGATTATGCCGGTGTTATCTCTAAAGGGTCGGCTTTGGCTGTGGTGTAATCAATTAATTTCAGCAGCATTGCCACACCAAGGTCAAAATTACTTGATAACGATATTGTCAATTCCCAGTATGTTGGTGGCATACTGTCTGACTAATGAGAAGCAGGTCTACAAAACTGTACTGGAGTGCAAAACGAAATGTAAAGAATAAGATGTGTCTGTTTATTTTGTAGTGTTTTTGCCACCTGTAAGCAATTTACAGTAACTTCTATTAACTTTTTTTTTATTTTGTAGTGTCTGTGCCAGCTGTAAGCATCTTAACTCTAAGCCATCATGCAATCTAATGGTTCTTTTTCTGCAGCAGAGCAAACACTTTGGTTCCTGACTCACCATTGGAAACGTATTAAATCACTACATCTTTCAGAAATTGAATGTCATAATCAAGGTAGCACAAGCCAATTCCTTCTTGATACAAAGGGGAACAAACTATTGCATCTGCTTGTTTATCAGTCTCAGCCAGCTGAAAGATCAAATCCAAGCAGGGTGCACTGACCAAAGCAATCTTCAATCAAATGACCTGTGCCATTCCTACCAAGGTCTTGACTGTAAGGATTTGGAAAGTGCATTCAGTAAGTGTCATCACCAATGAAACAGTACCCTATTCAGCCTTGAACTCCATATAAAGATGTACTATCCCACACATACTGTACATACAGTAGGATGATAAATAAAGGCAACACAATACAAAATACAGTGAACTCTGTCTTGGTGAAATTAGCAATATCTACAGCCATTCTGGAAAGACAGTTGTACGCACTCTACATCACAGCTTTGCTGAATAAGGAGATTTTCAGTCAATACCCTTAAAGTTATTTTCTTGACTACCGTATTTCAGTAAAAAGAGGGTAATGCTTACAAAACACAAAACTATAGGTTTGTATAATATTGGCAACAGAAATACAGATGTTATATTTTCATCCACTGCATAACTGAATACTGCACATATCTGCTACTCTGTACAGTTAATGAAATACTCCTATGAGTACCTGTTGAGGGAACCAATGCTTTATATTTGTAAAATATCCAGACTGAAAGCATTCTGACAGGAATAGACTGTTGTCGTCCAACAGTACCTACACTAAATGTTGACTATGAAAAAGCCTTACAGGAAGCTATAGCAAAACATCCATAGTGGGCACGTTCCTATTTCACACAGGAATGTGGGTAAGGATAACTGAATGCTACCAGACTCGCAAACCAGTGGTTCATATGCAATTTCTCCATAAACTGCAAAAAGCAGGTTTGCACACAAATACAGACTCATTTAGTGGGATATCTTAGTCTGCAGGATACAAAAAGATCAATGATATTACCTGTTAAAGTATTTTTATATTGCATCTGAGAGAGAAACTGTGAGGATGTACAGAAAATGTTCAAATCTGTATGTATTACAAAATTATATTGCCGGATGTTTGACTCAATCATTTGGTGACTTGTTTCAATCTTGTATGATTTAAAATGGTCAAAACCCACAAGGAGATAGCAATAAATACATAAAGTCTTAGATCCTTATGATATAGATAAAGATTTAACTAATTTAGAAATACTGGGGAGACCACTGTAGAAACATTTATGACACGCATACAATATCAAAGCTCTGAAATCTACTCTGAACTCTGAAACTACATGAAATAAAGAACAGTTTGATCATCTTCATTAAGGACTTTCTCAAAATTGCAATGCATTTTAATTAACTTTACCTTCCTGGAAACACGTTCCACAGTTAAAACAAATGTGTCAGTGCCCATGTAAGTCTAATTGATTAAATTGATTCCCACGGGAGGCTTTGTTTAAACAGCGGGGCATGAAGCAAAGAAAACTGAGCAGCCTAAACAATTCATGGTGCTGAGTGAAATAACTTAATTTGTGTTTTTACAGAAAATACTTGATAGTACAACATAATCACTATTATAGACAGTCAGAACGTTAATATTCAACAAATGTGAAAACCTTACTATATCCAGCCAGGGAGCTGGAAATTTGCTAAAAGGTCAACATTCTTAAAGCAGGAAACATTTTTCAAAAGTGATCAGGCCACATGCCCTTAACTACACCAACTGAACATCTAATGTGACTGGGAAGGCAAGCTTGAACAAATGGCTTTGGTCCATGATTGTACCCATACTAGAAAGAAGAGGCTCTCATAAGTATTCCACAGGGGGAGGATTTTGGCAAATTCTCCTATGGAATCAGTCTATTGCCAAGTTCTTCTACGTAACCCACACTGGTCAAACAAGAGACCTTATACACAAACCGAAAGGAATAAAAAACATTTTACACACACTGTGGTGTATGTAATTACTACTTCTAATGCGGGTTGCTTCACGTACGAATGCAATAAAACAGTTTAAGGGTGATTTCCTTTCAGGTCATTAAACAGGAACTACCCCCAACTCAACACACACCACACTCCCCAGACCCCCCAGCCTTACCACTTCACTGTAAGGACCAAATCTAAAATGAAAATGAAAACAATGCAGAAAAAGCAGTTGATGGGAAAGACTGAAAAACCAGCTTCCATTCCTTCCATTATTTTCCATGATATGCCTGATCTAGCGTACAAGCAGAGAGTATATTTTATCAATTATAGTTCTGCATGTGGTGTGAGGGTGGGATTTCAGGCCACTCAATTCTTGTCCAAGTTGTGAATCTTGGAACCTTAAAGGGACAGAAACAAACACAGAGAACTAACAAACGACGCCAACTATTGTCGGGAAAATCATGAGAGCTTCTTAACTAGTGTGCAGCTGGGCCACTAATTGTGCTATCCCTCTTGTGCTTCTGTCACCCCAGTGCTATGACCCAGGGTATTTGAAGAAGAATCCTGGAGATATGAGTGAGACGAATGTCTCCGATAAGAGTCCTACGGGGACGACGAAATGCAAGAATGCAGTTACAGTAAATGGACATCCATTCGAGAGTCTCAAACAATCAGAAAGGGGTATGTGACCTAATGGAGCAGGTCTTCAGCTGAAAAAGATCAAATGATTTTCAAGTGGAGTTTCATACGGAAATAATTTCTTCATATACTGTATATATATAAGAAATGAAGTAAACAATAACTGAGCCCAATCTGTAGCAGAAGTTTGGCCTGGGTGGCTCTATTGAGGAGGTCCAGGATGGAGCCAGGAGGCCTAGCTCTCCCAGTCAGCACAGGGCAGCCCCTCGTCCTCCGACTCAGATTCGGGGGAGGCTTCTTTGATGCGGCGCAAGGCTTCATGGATGCTGCGGGTGAGAGGGTCGGCGGAGTCGGGCAGCTCCCCCAGGGAATCCCGTAGCTCCTGCCGCTGCACCTTCTTCAGCTTGACACCCTTCCGGATCTGCGCCAGTATATTGTTGCTGTCGTCCTCATCCGGGGAGGGCGGCAGGGGGCGCTGCTCCACCTTGCGCAAGTGGAAGCTGCCCCGCTTCAGGGAGGCCAGGACTTCATCCATGGGGGAGCTCACTGTCAGCACAAGAAGAGTGCACACAAGGATAAAATATTAAAATTAAGGCTCTCCATGGGTTAACGTTCCAAATCTGAATAGCACAGAACTTATTAGGCTTAAAATATCCGGGCTGTAAAGCATCCCCATGTTTGAAGGTTCTTCTGTTCTTAAAGAACAAATGTTCTTTAAAACATGAGTGTTACTATGGTAACGTGCATTATGAGGAATGAGTAAGATTAGGAACTTTTATTCAGGATGTGGATCAAAACTGCTTCCGCAGAGTACAGAAGCTAAATATTTTGAATGTCTTCAATAGTGGCACAGTTCCACTACGAAAATGAAAAGCAAAGCCTCACCTCTCCTTCGCTGCGAGGCCTCCAACGCCGTTGTCTTCTTGAGTTTCTTTCTGGCGCTCACCAGCTGGCTGCTGTCGAAGAACTGGGCCGAAGCTGGGACGCTAGCACCGGGCAGCTTGGGGGTGTCTTTCTCTTCCCCTTTGGGAGGCTGCGTGGGGCTGCCAGGCTGGGCCGCGCTGTCCGGGAGGGGCTCCTCACTGGGGAGGGGCGGGGGCGGG